GAGTGGAACCGACAAAGACTAAGGACACCGGAGTGGCCGTTTCCGGACAAGTTTTATCCCTAATCAATATATTCGATGGGCAACCTACTTCCATGATATTACCAATCGCAACTGATAAAGCAACGAGCCCGTGGTACAATGGTAGAGTGGCAGACTCAATGACTAAGGGTCGTGGATTCGAATCTCGGGTGATCCACACCTGGGATTGGGTATGACTGGCTGATGATGGCTAATAAGCCAGAAATGGCCATTCCGATATTGGGTATGACTGGCTGATGACTGCTAATAAGCCAGAAATGGCCATTCCGGATCCCTTTGCTTTGTCGGATCCACTTCTTCATCATATCACCTTTGTCACTATGGGTATCACTGGCTGATGACGGCTAATAAGCCAGAAATGGCCATTCCGGTCTTGGTATGACTGGCTGATGACGGCTAATAAGACAGAAATGGCCATTCCGGTCTCAATGACTGGCTGATGACGGCTAATAAGCCAGAAATGGCCATTCCGGTCTCCATAATCTTTGTCGTTTCCACACCATCACATGCCTGAAGTAGCTAAAGCGACTGCCTGCGATCACTCTAACACGAGCCTCAAGGCACATCGGGACAAGTTTTGATCCCTAATCATCAAATTTATTTTAAACACAGATATGATTCGTCATTCGGCTGAAACGGGGTCAAAGGCTTCGCACATGCTCTGTATACATTGACTTCTGGTTCTCTTTTAGGGAGATCCTGGGGAGCCGGGAGTATTTGATCCGGAGGATCCCAAGGTGGTAGAACTGCTGCGCAAAACGGTGCTCGAATACTTCAATAAGCCAGTACGTTTTCCTCATTATGACTGTTTCACCCCTTCTCCCCTAGTTCAGTCGAAGCTGCGCGCTTTTATAAGTGATGAGAACTAGCAATATTCAAGGGAATTCTTAACTCTGGACCTCATTCTGTTCCATTTTAGGAGGTTCGTGAGCAATTCCGGGGAAGACCAGGGAAGTGCAACTGCGTAGGGAATCCAGGGACCCAAGGAAAATGGAACAATCCAGGCAATCCCACGGATGATATTCTCGAGTCACTGAGAAAGATTTCTTATGGTGTAAGTGTTACGGTTGCAGTGACTGGTCGCTTTTTGGCACATCAACCTGAATAGAGCAGAAAGGATGGTGGGAACATTATAGCTGGGAGAACCGTTAAAATGATTACTGTCCAAAGCAATTAGTGTCTCTCTTTCCTAAGAAATGACAGTGGATTGGTGCTCTGACAGGCACAAGGAAAATGACCACGCTCGCATTGAAATAGAAGGAAAAAACTAGTGGTAGAATGTACGTACTTTGAGTATGCTGAACGTTTTAGTCACGTAGCCTGTTAACATATCGTACTCGACAAAGTATGATCGGATGGTGCTCTTAAAAAGAGGTCTAGCGGTGATTGCAATTTATCTGTCCTACGTAAAAATGGGAATTCCTACAAAAAGTTCTAGCAGTCTTCGAGTAGCATGAGGTAGACAAGGTGGAAGAACATGCTTTCGGGGAGACCACGATAGAGACAGTGTGCCCTCCAATAAGGAAATACAAGCGGTCTTCGCTCACTGAGCCAAAACTAGTGAAGCTCCTAGTTGTCTGTTTCCATCTGCTATAGAGAAAGCCAGTGAGTAGCAGCGAAAAGCAATTCCGAAAACAATAAAACACTCAAATGAAGTACAGAGTAGTCCTTTTAGGCGGTCAAACGATTTTTTTAAACGAGACCGCAACCGGATCGAACTTCTCTTATTTCGAGCTTCATGCGCATGTCATAGTAAGGTGTGCGTATACAACGCGCGAAGGGGGTTGACTGCAAGGTTCCTTGTTTTGGGTCTTTTGCTTGTAAATCAAGGGACCACTGTTTGGCAGCGCTGCAGAAGTTCGAGTACACCTTCATGCCCCGGTTAGCCTTTACTTTTAAGTAGTTCCTTGCAGATACCCACTGTGACCACCCAGCTACCTATAAGGCTATTTGAACCTTTTTGAATTTGACTTGCAATTTGTTAATATGGCCTTTATCACTGTTAATGAAAAATCACATGGAAAAACTAATCCCAATAATTTTTCCGGTGCTGAAAGCCCTGTAATGGAATGCAATACCTTTATTTCTGCGTTCTTTTCGAGGGAATAATGTGAGAAGCATGTTTTGATTTCAAAGTTGTTTTACGATTCAACACACTTTTCGGTTAATGTTTGGCGCGACCAGGAGAAAAATGGGAAACATCTACTTATCAAAAGAATCGATGGCTGTACATGTCAGAGGTGAGGCTTTGTAGAGTATATGCAGCCGCGTATGAGGGTGACAGCCGTTGGACAGCAGCCTTCCTCCCCCCCCACCACCTCAAAAAACATCAGTCACAGTGCATAGTACCATTCCGAGACGAACTTCACTTGAGTGCTCACGCTTCGAGTGTGTGATCCCACTAGGAAAACCGGTTGAGGACTATTGTAATGCGGAATGTTGGAAATAGAGGTTTTATGGATGGAATCAACGAAGCTGCAGACATAAATCTTCGGAAAGTGAACTAAAACATCACATTTATGCCGTTATAGCGTTTAAGCACACAAATACATTAGCAAATCATGATCAAGAAATATCAGATACGAGGAGCTTTAAACAGGTGGACGAAATGATAACGGATAAGGGTTAGTGAGATATTTCAGACGAATAGCTATCAGCCCATGATGACCAATCACATTGAAAGAGAACACAGGGTTGCCCACATAGTTGACTCCGGACATCGTGTGGACCCCAGCGAAGCCTTTAA